AATGACTGTAGTGCAGTGAAACAGCAGTATGACATCAAGAAAAGCCTATTACCATTGGACCACTCGCTGGCAATTACAGCTAATTAATTGTGACATGAAATGATCATAAAGCTAGTGAATCAAACAGTGCAAAGTACAATGAGAAATCGCGCTCACTATCTCTGCAATGCGCAACTAGCATTCACTGATTTAAAGGGGTGTTAAGAGAAAAGTATTGCCACCGGTGTATATAATTTCACTGATCCAATTGATTGATGTCATCATGATACGCTGCATTAAGCTAATTGCCTCATTCAACCCTTCTTCAACAAACAGGAGAACTAGCCATGTAGTTGACACGCTGTTACCAAGTAATTGTACGTTCTTTTGTACAGTCTAGCCTACTCAGTAACAATCATTCCCTTTTGATCTACCAGTGATATTGGTTACCATCGATGGAGCAGCACTGAACTACATTGTACTGTAGAACAGCNTGTACAGTCTAGCCTACTCAGTAACAATCATTCCCTTTTGATCTACCAGTGATATTGGTTACCATCGATGGAGCAGCACTGAACTACATTGTACTGTAGAACAGCCTTTGCTAAATTGAATAGTAACAAAGTTGATAAAGGTTTGGTCACGCTTCGATGATGAGCACCATTGACTGAGTGTAATATTTGAAATAGAAGAGGAGCACTTGTATGCATAAAAGAAGGAGAAGCAGTTTACTCAAAGCAAAAATCATAGCCCTTAAATTCAGTGGGTAACGGTGTCAAAGCACGCAAGCTTTTTGTCCCTTTCCGATTAGGCAGTTTGGTATATAGGAAACTGTCCCTGTCGCGCTCAGTCACTCGGTATCTGGCAATGTGGCGATAATGGCCTAATTGCTAGTAGTACATATAAATAATTCGCTAGTCTTTCTACTAGTCGCTTCTACCCAAAACGTCCACCCGTCTAAGTAAATGGAAATTGAAATATGCCGAGACTGCTTCTCGATAAGACGGAAACAGGCACAGTAGTGCACAGTAGCAAGAGAGCAGAATAAAAGGAAGCAAAATGGAAAGAAAAGACGCCAACTTGAAAGGAAAAGGGAGAGAAACATAGCTGCGCGATAGCAACGACATTCTGGGCAGTTGAACTCGAATGTAACCAACGCTGAAACAGTGTTTCGCTTTTGGCCAGTGTGAAAACAGAGAGCAAAAGTAATGGTGCCCAACGTGGCCCAATGTGATAATTTTGTCCTCTTACTGACTGTCCGTTTTTCTTGACCTTTCAACGATTTAAAAGTTTTTTCTATACGCACAGCAAGAAAGTGCACAGATTCAAGATGCAATTGACGGCCATGATTAGGTGGAATTGTCACTGGCCACAGTGCTAATCCGATTAAAGGCGACGCCAATGGACACTAATCTAGAGTGAGGCAAAAACTTTCAACTTAGAATGCAAAAGGCGGACAGCGGATGCTGCGTTAAAATAATTGGCATTTTACTGATTACTGGTGACTGAGCGCAACCAAGAGGCGTCCACTCTAATGAAAAATAATGGTCAGTACTTGTAACGGGCTAATCGAAGAAAATTGATAATGACTAGTGTATTAAACAAAATATACAAAAAACCTCATTTTTAGTCGTAAAGAATGATCTTTTTTGATTTATTTTATTTGTTCTCAATTTAAATGCACAAAAAGATTTTTATAAATATAAATGGTCAATATTTGACTAGCTTTATTGTCGAGTCGGCAGCAAAAACGAAATTCATTTGCTGTAAAATAGTATTTGAAAAAATCCATATTTTAATTGGATGCTATTATCAAATTGGCGAAAGACAAACAGAAGCAAACTAAGCGAATCTGTCAATAGCGTGCCTTTGTAAAACATGACTGCATACATGTGTGCGTGAGCAAACAGCTAGGCAAAATGGCGCACAAAAAAGAGAAGAAAAGGAAATGAAGAGAAACATCCTCCTTCAAACTAAGAGAGCCTAGGGAAAGAGTAGCTGATCAGACTGTGAAATTCGCTAATTTCAAATTAGCAGCGAAAACAAGAAGACTCAATGGTGATGGTGGCGGTGTTGGTGCCAGCACTCCAGATAATGAACTTAATTAGGAGTAGCTTCATGGAAAAGCGATGGAAAAAAACCTAAACAAGAAATAGCTAGAGAATGAGTGTGTTTCAGCAACGCATATGCTGCTAATTGCCATTTGATTCAATTGCATTCAATTGCCTACTCGCTCACTAATGGCCACATGAAGCACAGCGAGGTAATGATGCCTTCTATTGTGCCTTTATTCTGTTTGCTGCATCTGTGCTTTTGGTGATGGGGCAGTGGATGAAACTCACTGCTGACACCAATGCCGCCACACATCAACTGAACAGATTGATTTAAATAATGAGCAGAGGGAGTGATCGGCCACGGCATGTGTGGCAGTAGCATTTAGCTTCAGAGAAGACCCAATGTGGGAACAAAAGTGGTGTCTAGTCTTTTCCTCGACGGCTTCTACTGATGTTGTCAAATTCGTTTAAGGGAGGAGGACATCAGCTTCGTTTGGTGTATTCACTTCAACCGTTTGTTATAGAAAATGGCGTAGTGCCAAGGGCCCCATCGATACAGTGTTTGGAAGAAGTGTTCAAAACGTCTGCCTATGTTGTCCCGATCAATACGTTCTCCCTGAAGACTTTCCTGCTCTTTCTCTCAAAAGGATGTGAAGTAGGCAAACACTTCGTGTGTTTCTGTGTGTGTCTCTGTGTGTTGACTGTTCACTGTCGACCTTCCTCGTAAAGTGTCCATTGTTTGGCTCAGTAAAAAGGTTTCTTCACTTGATTCTCCTCATGATCACTCTTTTGCAGTGACGCGTGTCAATCAGAACGTAAATAGAACTTCATCCAAAAGTTATATCACACTACTAATTGAATTGAGTTTCAATTCATTTGACAGAGTTTCCTATGATGATACCAGGGCAAGGGAGTATTGAGAAAATTGGACCATTTGCATTGCCATTTNACGTTCTCCCTGAAGACTTTCCTGCTCTTTCTCTCAAAAGGATGTGAAGTAGGCAAACACTTCGTGTGTCTCTGTGTGTTGACTGTTCACTGTCGACCTTCCTCGTAAAGTGTCCATTGTTTGGCTCAGTAAAAAGGTTTCTTCACTTGATTCTCCTCATGATCACTCTTTTGCAGTGACGCGTGTCAATCAGAACGTAAATAGAACTTCATCCAAAAGTTATATCACACTACTAATTGAATTGAGTTTCAATTCATTTGACAGAGTTTCCTATGATGATACCAGGGCAAGGGAGTATTGAGAAAATTGGACCATTTGCATTGCCATTTGCAGTACGTTGCTGAAATTACAGGCAAGCTTAGACAAAAATAAATGTTTTGTTTTTTTAAATTGTCTAATTTGCATTTGTAGCAAACCTAGGTAACACAGNTCACTTGATTCTCCTCATGATCACTCTTTTGCAGTGACGCGTGTCAATCAAAACGTAAATAGAACTTCATCCAAAAGTTATATCACACTACTAATTGAATTGAGTTTCAATTCATTTGACAGAGTTTCCTATGGTGATGCCAGGGCAAGGGAGTATTGAGAAAATTAGACCATTTGCATTGCCATTTGCAGTACGTTGCTGAAATTACAGGCAAGTTTAGACAAAAATAAGTGTTTTGTTTTTTTAATTGTCTAATTTGCATTTGTAGCAAACCTAGGTAACACAAGTGTTTTTAGAAAATTATTTTTAGACGTTTTGGGCAAACAAAAGCAAACAAATTGTGTTGTAATGTTTGGGCGAATTTGTGATAATGTAGGTCAAAAAGTGATTGTTTTTGAAAATAAAATTAAACTACAAACTAGTTAATCTCATNCTAATTGAATTGAGTTTCAATTCATTTGACAGAGTTTCCTATGATGATACCAGGGCAAGGGAGTATTGAGAAAATTGGACCATTTGCATTGCCATTTGCAGTACGTTGCTGAAATTACAGGCAAGCTTAGACAAAAATAAATGTTTCGTTTTTTTAAATTGTCTAATTTGCATTTGTAGCAAACCTAGGTAACACAAGTGTTTTTAGAAAATTATTTTTAGACGTTTTGGGCAAACAAAAGCAAACAAATTGTGTTGTAATGTTTGGGCGAATTTGTGATAATGTAGGTCAAAAAGTGATTGTTTTTGAAAATAAAATTAAACTACAAACTAGTTAATCTCATTCTTCAAGTGATTGATCAAATGCTTTGAATAAAAAGTGCTGTCTTTTAGACATCAAATCTAAGCTTGAGTGTCAAATGCAAATGTGTCTACAAGAAATATTGCCGCCATTTCATAATAGTTTTGAAAAATACAAAACTACTTTCCTGCTCTACGTTTGATCTTTATAAACAACAAAAGTGGACAATTTAAAGCTATGAAAAAGTAAACAGTTTTGTTTAGTTGCTTAACAGCAGGCCAATCCGATTTAAATAAAGCTTAATGCAGCAGTGACAGCAAAACTGCCAAATTGGATTTTTGTCAAGAATAGATTTGGAAACCACTTTAAATCGACACACAGTCAAAAGGAGGATCTGTTTAGAAGTTTTTTTAAACAACAGCAGCAGTATTGTCAAACTGAAAATCAAATGTCTCTTTGTCTGTCTATGTTTATCTTAGTCCGCTAAAAAGGCAATCACAACATTGACCACTCTTATCAGCAGTACGTGCTTTTGATATAATGCTTCTCAGATGGAATTTCCTGATTGTCTCTAAAAGATGACCTTTTCTAAAATGTTGATAAAACGTAAAAAATCATTTCTATAAAAGAAAAACAATGTACATTTTATTGCAAAAAAGTGACTTGAACTTCGAACATCAACGATTCTCAACAATAGTTCTAGTTCTGTATTACTTTACTTTCACTATCACAATATTCTCTACTTGCACTCCCTTTTTCAACGTTAACATTAAAACTTTAACCAACGTGTCCTGATTCTTGAGATCCACCTCACCCTACTACGCCTGCTTTAAAAGTTTTTAGTGTGAAGGCAACATGGCTGAGAAGAAACCCTCTGTCAAGTCTGGCAGCAAAAAGGGTCAACATGGCTCACTCGAGAAAACTCACACTACAGCTGCCATCGATGGTCGTCACCTGGTCAGCGATGGCGTTGCTAGAGACAAGAACTCCGCGTACCGTCACCACCGACCAAACAGCAAAATCTTTGAGAAAGAGGATGAACTAAAAGACGTCCGCCAGTTGCTAGAGAGCAAGGACGAAACCCTGCACGAGGTGGTCGGCACTGGAACCTTTGCTGATGTGTACCGCGGTGTGAACCATCGCCTGAACAAGGTCATCGCCGTGAAGATAATTGATCTGAAGAAGACTAGTGCCCACTACCGAGAACAGCTGCTGCCACAGGAGATTGCTATCATCAAGCAGCTGAAGCACCCTCGCATCGTCAAGATCTACCACATCTCCCAGGTGGGCTACAAGGTCGTCCTGGTGATGGAGTTTGCCAGCAAGGGCACTCTCTCCGACCTGATTTGCTCCATTGGAGCGCTCAAAGAGCCCGTCGCCTGGACTATGTTCCGCGATGTGCTCGAAGGTCTGGGCTACATGCACCACCGCTCCATTGCCCACCGAGACCTGAAGCTGGAGAACATTCTCATCAACCACAACAACCTGCCCAAGCTGGCCGACTTTTCCTTTGCTGTGTACTTCGACGGTCACACCCTGTGCACCAATCACTGCGGCTCCATTCCCTACTTTGCGCCTGAGATGCTCTCCAATGCGCCCTACCACCCACTTCTGTCTGACGTGTGGAGCATGGCGGTGTGCATCTACATCACCACCAATGACACCTTTCCCTTTCGCATTGGCGACGATCGGGCCATGCTGGCGGCGCAGCTGGCCAAGGCCTGGAAGTTCCGCACTCGAACTGAGCAGACCTTCTCCGAGGCGTACAAGTCACTGATCAAAGCAATGCTGCAGCCTGATCCGGCCAAGCGTATTCGCACTGAGGAGATTCTGCGTCACAGCTGGATAACTACCGAGCAGCGAACCGAATGAAAGCAGCTCAGCGCAAAAATTGACAGAAAACAATGTTGAACAATTCGCTCATGTTTACTCAAGATGCACTGTTTTTGCTAAAGAATTTTACTAATTTTCTAATTGTAAATTACTATTTTGTCAGTAAAATATTCACTTGATATATGTTTTTGCAGATTTTTTATCATAAAAGCTTGAAGGAAAAATGAAAGAAGTTAAAGTTTACTAACAGTTTTTGATCAAAAGAAGCGGTAACTTTAGACNTATATGTTTTTGCAGATTTTTTATCATAAAAGCTTGAAGGAAAAATGAAAAAAGTTAAAGTTTACTAACAGTTTTTGATCAAAAAAAGCGGTAACTTTAGATATCTGTGTTGCTTACATAAAGAATGTATAAATTTAAATAAAATGAAATTACATAATATTTGCTTATAGCTGGCTAGTAACAGTCAGTGCCGATTGTAGAGAGTCCGTCATTGAATTAAAAACAGTTGAAATATAGAAGGCCAGCTGGCATCGTCCGAAATGCCATTAGGTAGAGCGGACTAAAGTGCTCTGTTGAATGGTGACGACTGGTGTTCATTGGAATATTCGCTTCCCAGGGCAGACCAAGTGGTCGAGTGAAGGCAACTCTGTGGTGACGGCGGTCGTCGTGGAAAGGCAATGCAGTGCAGTGCCCGTCAGCAACGGCTGCCGTCCTACGGACGGTTCACTTCACGGCGGCATGATTAATTTAAGTTGCATTTAAATTGGGCAGCCTGCTTCAGCACACACTCCGTCACCAAAGTCACCTGTGCTCGTCAAAAAGCACTCCGCCAGACGACAGTGTCAAAACTTTAAATGCACTCCGCCATTGCGCTCCACTGACAGCAGTGTGGCCGCTGAATGGCGCCTAAACGCCAGCTCCTCCTCTCATCCGCCAGCTCCTAT